TCAATATACCTGTCGCCTAGCTACACCGCGAGGTGGTTTTGCTACAGAGTCAACATATGCCAATTGTGTCTTCCTAACTGGAGTGGATGCGGCTTGATTCGCATTTATATTTTGTCGTAGTTTGTGCAATTTAATTTCACGCTCTTCAAGGCATCTCTAAACATTAAAAATACCTCAATAAGGCATGGAGAAATAATATAGATAGTATACCTCTTTAGTAACAATAATTATCTACAGGAATCATACTTTGATGTACAAAAGTTTAACTTGAAAAAACAAAATATATGTTACAATTTTTGTAAATCTTTATTTTAAATTAATTAATTTAAGTAACACCTGATAAATGTTTATTTAGATTTAAAAAAATTTATTTTAAAAATATTATCTATATACATAGACTTGGTATTTCAAAAACTACTACAATTTGAATATTTTAGCCAGAATCTCTATAATTCAAATTTATAATTATTAGTCATACAAGTATTCAGTAAGAATTTATAATTCTAATATTGAAAAATAACCGACAGCAATAACAATTGTGGTCAAAAATTGGTCACAAAGAAGATAAATTTTTTTTTGATATTTTATAATATGTACCTACAATAAATAATTAATGTAAAGTTAATTAAACAGTAAATATGTATTTATTTTGTTCAATTCTCTTTAATTAGAATTATTCATTTCCCTCCCTCCCAAATATTTTAACTCTTACTAAATTGAAAACTTCTATAAATTAAATTTTCAGTTCAATTCCCTAAATTGAATTATCAGGAGTCTACTGTATCTATTAAATTAAGGATTTGGACTAATATTGTTAAAGACATGCAAATGCATTATTAATTACTATATAAAAATTTCTCCAAGTTTCGTTTTTTTCTGGAACTTTATTACGGAATTCTTTCTTGCTGTGGTATTCCCACAAAGGTCCAGTATCTTCAATCAAATAGCCATTATGATTTTCTATCTGATATAATTGGTCAGGAGTAGTGTGGCTTAATACTGGCTCAAGTATCATATATGGAACACCACCAGTCTCTCCCATATCTAAACAAAATGGAATGTATAAAAACCATGTATAAAGCCAGAAGAAATATTTACCATCAATATTTTCTTTAAGAGTTTTAATACAACAATCAGCTAAACTAGGAACTTCTGTATAAATTGTGCTTTTATTTCCAGAGTATACTTTTGTCCTGTAAAATATTGTCTTAGAAAATTAGAAAAAAAAAATAACTACAAATTTTGTATATTATACCTCATATTTTTTGTTTTCATACTTGTAGCTAATGCATCAATTTCATCTAATGATTTTTTTTTCTTTATATCCAATTGAGGTAATGGTTTATAATTTGCAATTAACTCTTCGGGATCCAAATTTATTGGTGCCAACTGCATACTCTGTAATATATTATTCTAAAATAGATATGGTTCTTAAAAAATATGAGGAGATGTGTCTAAAAGATTAACTAACTGTTGGAATAGGACTCGATTCCCTTTCTGAAGAATTTGATCGACTTGATATATCTCTACACTTTGATTTATCTTTTTTTTTCTTATTTATTTCTATACCTAGTAATGCCTCTTCAAATGTTTTACCTAAAATAACATTAAGTAAGAAATAAATGTACATTTTTATATAAATAGCTAAACTTACAAATACTAGTCGAAGGTTTAGATTCTTGTTTAGAATGTTCTTTGCTTTTTTCTTTGCTCTTTTTTTTGGAATCATTTTTTTCCCTATGTCCAGATTTCGATTCATGTTTATCCCTATGAGATTTTGATTCAGATCTTGATTCAGACTTTGATTCTGACCTTGATTCAGATTTTGATTCTGACCTTGATTCAGACTTTGATTCTGACCTTGATTCAGATTTATGAGTAGACTTATGTTTATCTTTTTTTTTATCTGAATGTGAACTTTTTTTTTCCTTTTTAATGTTAACTTCATTATTTTTACCATTTTCTTGATGAGAAGTTGTCGCAACTTTACTTTTTTCAGATTCTTTATCAGCTTCTTTTTTAATTTTGATATTTTCATGCTTATTATCTTTCTTCAATTTCTTAGAGACTTTTTCATCTCCTTGTTCATCTGTTGAATTGCAACTAGATTCTTTTCGTTTTTTGCTATCTTTATCCTTTTTACTTTTTTTATACTTTGATATTTTATCATAATTATTTTGATAATGATTATAAATTTTACATGCACCATGGTCACTTGAATGGCCATTATTTTCATCATTCAATCCTGTTTCATTGCTATTGTTGTTGTAATAACTAGTAGATGCAACACTAGATGTTATATTTTGGTTGATTTGTAGTTCGTCATTATCATTGGCCGAAGATGCATCGTCATGTTCTTCATCAGAGTTTTCTTTTTGATAAAAATTTTCAGATTCTTCAATTTTAACAACATTTTTCCATTGAACAACCAATAATTTTGCTGACTCTCCTATTTGCCCATCATATTTCCTTAAGCTGTTGACTACACGCCCAATTCCTGTCTTTTGTAAATTTTGAACAGTAATAGGAAGTCGTGAAAGCTTTAAAATACATTTCATAATCTGAAAAATAGAAAAATAATAATAATTGCTGATGTTTAAAAAAAATGTATTTCAAAAGATGGTTTAAAATGTATAATGGAAATTTGTAGTAAGAATATGAGTACTTTTTAATGATTTGGTTAATGCTTTTCAATTTTTTTTATTTTTTTTTTTGTATAAAGTAAAATTGGTAGGTACTAGGTACTAATAAAATGTGTTGTGTTTAAGATTATTAATATTAACTTGGGAGTATAACAAAATTATTAAACATAAATATTAATTAGTAGGTATAATATACACATTTTTGTTAAATAAATTCAATTTATATAAACCTTAAAAGTAAAGCGTAACAAATTATAAGTATGTATTTAAAAATTCTAAAAACAGTCACCTTGATCTACTGACCTAATCAAGTCTTTATTCATTTAAACTACAAAGTGTATGAGAACTTTCACTATAATACACCAATAGAATAATCCAAAATTTCATACTATCATGTTATCCCATTGTATTGTTTTCTTGCAGTGTATAATTAATATTATTATAATAATTGAATTAAATAATTGTTGAATTGAAAATAAAATTTTTTTTTTTCAGATAAAATTAGCAAATGACTTTAAATGTATGTTAGTACCTACCAAACATTTTGTTTAAATTGCTGTATAAAATATATTAAACAATTGATTGAAACTTGTTTCTACCAAAAATAAAAATGTTGTACTCTCTTTTCTATCAAATTAGTCGCTTGGGGGTTTTATGATCACTGGGAATGTATATAACCTATATTTATTCAATTAGGTATAAAATTCATAAAATATAAAGAATAATGTCTATTAAATGCTATTATAACACTATACCAAATACCAATACAATATTTATTTTTATTGGTGAATTGACAATCATAGAAGTTCCGTTTTACTAATCAAAGTTATTTTTTTTAAACTAATTAAATTTATAGAAAATTATATAGTATTTAAATAATTATAAAATATATCTTATGTAATTGTTAATAGTTGTAATAATTATTTAGTGAAATTGTAAACATTTTATAATTACCTACCTACATCGAGCATTAGGTACAATAAATTAAACTATTCAACTACTTAGATATATAAAACTAAATTTCTTTTAATGTTGATAATTTTTATTATAATATAGGCATACATAATAATATTATAATCTAATAGAGAGCACATTTTCGGTCAGGTGCATTTCCAAACAAATATTTCGGAGGGGTGGGGAGGGGGGTAAAGTTAGACACTTTCATACTCTTATAACAAA